ATCTGATTTATCTTTTTTTTTTTGAGTTGGAGTCTCACTCTGTCACCCAGGCTGGAGTGCTGTGGCACACTAATGGCCACCCCAGTGTTGACTTGCTGGCTCTGGCAGTCCTTCCACCTCAGCCTTCCAAGTAGCTGGAACTACAGGTGCATGGTACCAGGCCCAGCTAATTATTTTATTTATTGTAGAGATGCGGTGTCACCAAGTTGCCCCTGCTGGTCTCAAACCCACAGGCTCAGGCAATCCTCTCACCTCGGCCTCCCAAAGTGCTGGAATTACAGGCTGAGCCACCTAGCCCGGCCTGGCTGATTTATCTTAAAATAGTATACTGCCAAGGCTGAGGCGGAAGGATCGCCGGAGCCCAGCAGGTGAGGCTGTGGTGGCCGGGAGCAGTCACTACACTCCAGTCTGGGCAACCGAGTGAGACTCCAACTCAAAAAAAAAAAATAGTATACTGCCTTGTTCATACACTGAGAAGCATGCCTTGGTACATATGAGTATCTGTTATCTGACTTGGTTTCCTGAAGTGGCAGTGGTCTGCATCATGCTTAAAATTAGGTTACCCTGTATTTTCAGCAATATTAGGACATGAAAAACTCATTTATTTAAATTGAGATTTTGTTTATTTAAGGCTATACTAGATATTTTCTATTTTCTGCTCCATGTCCATTCTCTACCCTGCTCTCTATGGGGATTCACCTTTATGTACTGTGTCAGAGGTCATCAAACTACAGCCCATGGATCAGATATTCATTTACATAGTGTATATGGCTGCTTACTTGCTTTGCATCAGCAGAGATGAGTTTATTGCCATACTGGTGTTAAGAGCAAAATATTTACTATGTCCCTTTACAGAAAAAAGGTTTTCCAACTCCCAAATACATCAAATTATTGCCACCTAGCTTTTGGTTGATTGCAGGCAATGTTGACAATATTTACTTAAGAAGGAGAAGGGACTATCAGAAAGAATTTGTTAGGTTCATTTTGCTTAGCCACCTCCTAGTCTGGGACAGGCCAGAAGACACTCCTTTCAAGGATTTAAGGAATACATTGGTGAGGGATGTGCCACCATCCTTGGAGAATTGTGTGGCACCTGCCTTTTCTAGGCTGTAGATTATGTGAGGAGGTTCTATAATGAAAGTAGGACCCCTAGCTGGACGTGGTAGCATGTGCCTGTAGTTCCAGCTACTTGGAAGGCTGAGGCAGAAGGATCGCCGGAGCCCAGCAGGTCGAGGCTGCGGTGGCTGGGAGCGGCCACTGCACTCCAGTCTGGGTGACTGAGTGAGACTCCAATTCAAAAAAAAAAAAAAAAAAAGAAAGTAGGACCCCAATTTCAGTAGAGGCCATGGGAACTTGGAATCGTAAGGATTGGGTAAGATTAACACCAGAATCCAAGGGATGGAGTGGTAATCAGAGCTTTAACCATATAGGTGGCAATGGCTAGATGATCATGGGGTTCCTAGAGAGAAAATAGATGAAATAGCCTACCAAGGTGCTATTTGATATATACAGGTGGGAAAAATAAATATGCTGGGCTGAAACCTAACTGAAGGGATTAAGTTAGTAAGGATTCATATCCTTGGCCAAGCTCCCAGAATGAAGCCAGTTTATAGTCCCAAACCTTCCCAACTAAGGGAGATGCTGTCTCTCCGAGGATAATTGTAAACTGGGCACATATGTATGCTAGCCTATATTTTCATATTGAAATGGTAGCATGCCTATGCTAAAATAAATATTAAATTCTTTAGGCAGTGGATTGCCTGAGCTCATGGGTTCGAGACCTGCAAGGATCGCCGGAGCCCAGTAGGTCGAGGCTGCAGTGGCCGGGAGCAGCCACTGCACTCCAGTCTGGGTGACAGAGTGAGACTCCAACTCAAAAAAAAAAAAAATTCTTTAGGCAGTAGGAAATGATCTTAGAAACTTGGAAATACAGAAAGGAATAATGAACACTGTAGGGGTAAATAAGTCAGTAAATACAAGTCAGATGTGGTGACACTATGGTCCAGAGATTAAATCAGGGCCCGTGAACCAGGAATGATTTTAACATCTTTAAATAGCAGTTAAAAATTGATGAAGAATACATGCAACAGAGATTAAATATAGCCTGCAAAACAAAATATTTACAATCAGGACCTTTACAGAAAAAGTATGTCAACTGTGGTATAAGTGACTGACTACATAACAATAATTAAAATATCTGGTGGAGTTCAAAATACACATGAAACCAAAAAAAAAAAATGACAATAGTATAAGACAGGAGGGAGAGAAATGGAGTTACGAGAATTTAAGATTCTAGCAGCAGTGGGAATGGGGTATAATTAATTAAATAATTTGGCTCTCTTGATCTGGGGGCTGGTTCAATAAGTACATTCTACTTGGAGAAATGCATTAAGCTGTACATCTTTATATATTATGATGCTTCGTGACATTTTTTTTTTTTTTTGAGTTGGAGTCTCACTCCGTTGCCCAGGCTGGAGTGTGGTGGCACGCTCACAGACACCCAAACCCCAATGTCGACCTCCTGGGCTCAGGCAATTCTTCCAACTCAGCCAGAACTACAGGCACGCGCTACCAAGCCCAGCTAATTTTTTGATTTATTGTAGAGATGAGGTCTTGCCAAGTTGCCTAGGCTGTTCTCGAACACGTGGGCTCAGGCAATCCCCTCACCTCAACCTCCCAAAGTGCTGGGATAACAGGCTTGTCCCATCATGCCTAGCCCCCAAAAGTTATTTTAAGAGCTGGGCCTGGTAGCTCATGTCTGTAATCCCAACACTTTGGGAGGCCAAGGTGGGAGGACTTTCAAGCCCAAGGAGTTAAATATAAGCCTAGGCAACATAGTGAGACCTCTTCTCTACAAAACATAAAATTAGCCAGGTATAGTGGTGCATGCCTGTAGTTCCAGCTACTCAAAAGACTGAGGTGGAAGGACCGCCTGAGCCCAGAAGGTCAGTGCTGCAGTGAGCTATAACTGCACCACTATTCTCCAGCCTGGGCGACTAAAAAAAATTCTTTTGAGCAACTGCTGCATCAGTAATATTCTCAATATCACAAAGGACAATATTTGTAGAAAAAGTGGATATTGCATCAAAAAATGTTTTAAAAAGTCAGAATCAATGTGAAATCTTGCTGATAAGTGAAAAATGTAATTTTACATGTGTTTGATATGCATGTATTACATTACAGGTTAGTTTTAGCTATGATATATATTGTTCTGTGAATTTTCTGTTTATACTAAATGTCTTATTTTGTTTGTTATAAGAAGTTTGTATGTTAAAGAAATGATCATTTTCTGGCATTCAAATTTCATACATGAATTATCACAACAGGATCCTAACCCAGTCTCTCAAGATTTTTTACACAAAAGCCAGTGT